TCTTTATTACAATAATAACCATTTTGATGGAGTACGAAAGGCATGTGATTTGTTTGGTAAACCATATTGCCTGGCCTGCGAAAAGGTGTACCATAGACAAAACGACCATTCAATTTCATGTACGGCAAAGTGTCAAAACTGTTCAAGGATTGGACCTGATTACCCATGTCAGCAATCAGACAACTTTTTCAAACATTGCTCTGGTTGTTCTAAGAAATTTAATAATGAAAACTGCTACAAATACCACCTAACATCAAATTTTTGCAACAATTCCAAGAAATGTAATAAATGTGGAGTGGTATGGATTGTCAAAGACAATAACCGAAATGGTCGCAGTGGGCATGTGTGTTCCGAACGATATTGCAACACATGCTTCAGTTTCCATGACCCAAAAAGAGGTTGCTACATCAAACCTCTTACTCAGAAGAAGGCAAAACCATATCGATTCATTGCCTTTGATTTCGAGACTATGCAGCACAAACAAGGTGAAAAAGGGAAACTACATGAGGTGAATTTTATAGCAGCAAAAATCAACTGCCCCGAGTGTATTGTTAAGGGAATGAACAACAATTGCACTATTTGTGGAGATGACAGAACAATTACATTCTCCCATCAACCCTTCTCCAATACATCAGTGGATCAACAAAATATTACCAATGATCCTCTGACCGATTTTGTGGCTTGGATTACCAATTTTTCTACTGATACAGTAGCCTTCTCACATTTTGGAGGAAGGTTTGATATGGTCATGGTTTTTAAGGCATTGTATCTTCAAGGACTAACACCAGATATGATAAAGAATGGAAACAAAATGTATGAAATGAAAGTGAAGAATGATAAGAAGTGTTGGGTCATCTTTCACGACACCTATAATCTTATGCCAATGCCTTTGGCCTCATTGGTACCTGCATTTGGACTTCAGGTGGAAGACAAGCTTTTCTTCCCACACTTGGCCAACTATCCGAAAAATTATGGGAAAGAAATCTTCCCAACTAAAGATGATTATCTTGCTAATGGGATGATGCCTGAAAAGAGGGCTCAGTTCGATACTTGGTTCGAGAAGCATAATAATGAGCCTTTCAATTTAAATGAACAACTTGCATCATACTGTACAAATGATGTGGAAATTCTGATGGCAGCACTCGTGGCCTTCAGAAAAGAATTTTTGGAAGTTTCCAATGGTCTTGATGTTTTACGGGAGTCTATGACAATAGCTTCAGCTTGTATGAAGCACTTTCGCATGAATCATCTTAAACCACAACACGTTGGAATTGTACCCGAAAAAGGATACGACAATGTGGACAACCAAAGTCTGCTAGCCCTTAGATTCCTCAAGTGGTATGCTGAAAAAAATATGGTCAGCATAAGAACAGCACACTCAAAAAATGGAGAGAAGAAAATTGGTAATTACAAGTTAGATGGATGGGTCAAGGAGAAGAAATTGGCTATTGAGGTAAATGGGTGCTGCTGGCATGGATGCGCCAAATGTTATCCGAATGACGACTTAAAACTCCCTACAGGTCTTACAGTTGGAAAGCAAAGGGAGAAGGATCAACAACGCTTAAATTTTATTAAGAATTTGGGTGTGAATGTTGATGTTTACTGGGAGTGTGAAATTATGAAAATGAAATCAAATGACTACGAAATGCGCAAAATGTTCAAAAATTATTTGGATGATGGCCCGATCAACATAAGATCAGCATTCTATGGTGGAAGAACTGGACCTTTGAAGTTATACCACAAAGCAGAGGCAGGACAGAAAATTTCTTACTATGACGTGACTTCTCTCTACCCCTTTATCAATGTTACTACTAGATATCCAATTGGCCATCCTCAAGTGCACGTCATCAACAAGGATGTAAATTGGACTAAACCGGAAGACAACACATATAATCTTTCCCTTCTAAAACTGTTTATTATTCCGCCACGAAGTATTGATATTCCTGTCCTTCCAATGAAAATTGGGGAAGACGAAGATGAACGATTGCTTTTTCCTTTATGTTCTACGTGTGCAAGAGAGCATCCACATGGGGATGTCAATGAAAACTACTGCTGTCCCCATACAGACCAACAAAGAGGGTGGGTGTCTACATGTACATCTATCGAGCTGAACGAAGCCCTCAAAGAGGGGTATGTTGTGACCAAACTTTTCAGAGTTCTGGAGTTCAAAAACTACGACGACAAGCTCTTTAACCCTTACATCAATGAATTTATGGCCCAAAAAATTCACTCGTCTGGCTTCGACAACTCCATCAAGGGGGACAAAGAGAAAGAAGATAAGTTTATGAAGGAATGTAAGGAAATGTTTGAAATAAATATTGAGAGGGAGAAGATGGTGGTCAATAAGGGCAAACGGACACAAGCAAAATTGTGTCTTAACAACTTATGGGGAAGATTTTCCCTACGCAACTTTGGTCTGTCACAATGCAAAATTACCGACGATCCAAATGAATTTATTAAAATGAGCGATGATCCTTCTATTACAATTAATCATGTTGATGAGCTTACCGAAGAGATACTACTTATCAACTATACCAAAAAGAAGGATTGGGTGGAAGAACACGACTCATCAAATGTCATCATTTCACTCTGGACAACCTCAGCAGCGAGGATCCACCTTCTACATGCAATGCAGCATGTCGTCAGGACTCCTGGATGTCAGCTCCTTTACACCGACACCGACTCATTAATTTTTTCACACCCTGTCAACAACTGTCCACTTGATCTTGGTCCTCATCTAGGTCAGTTTACAGACGAGTACCCAGACTTTAATATTTTGGAATATTGCTCTGGGGGAGCTAAACAATATGGACTAAAGCTTCAAAAGAAATCTTCACCCAACGATGAACCTGACTACGTTCTCAAGGTTCGTGGGATGACACTCAACTGGGATGTGATCAACAACCAAGGGTTATGTTATGAAAACTTCAAGAAGCAAGTTTTTGATTTCACAAAATCTGATAATATACCAATTTTAATTAAATATCCAAATTTTCTTAGACCATCTATTAAAAATGGCTCTATTATTACTCAAAACCTTACAAAAATTTATAAACCTTATGTCGGCAAGGGCATTGTCCGCCCTTCCGATTTTATTGTATTAAATTTTGGTCATATTCATAATCGCCATCCTAGAATTTTGTTGTAATTATAGGGTTGGATAGTAGTCAGGCGTACGGCACCCAAACTATACCAACTATCGAATGTTGCCGTCATACCTCTCATGGATTAGTCGATGAATATCAACATGTGTCATTCATATGTTGTGAAGTAATCCTCAAATTGAAAATCGGTAGTCGTGGACTTAACTATATAATTCTCAAGTCTCTGTTTGAGCTTGGACATGCCTGTCAAGTGGCGAAGCCACACTCCTATTACAATATTTTTCTTTTCACTATTTTTTCTAACTAAATTTTAATTTGTTTTTTACACAATTTATTGTATCAATTTTATTCGTGATAAAATTTTAAAATACAATTTTTTAAAAATTATTCAATAGGAGTCACCAGTTTTAGCGGTAAAATTACATAGTTAGTAAATCAAAGATACAATTTTAAAAATATTAAAAAATTAATAAAAAGAAGACGTAGTTTTTAGTGGCAAATTTACATAATTATTGAGATAAAGATTAAATTTCAGAATTTAGGGAAAGGAGTTGTTCATTTTAGGAGTAAAATTACATATTTAAGAAAATGAAGGTGAAATTTGCTAATTTAAACAATTTTACAGCGTATGTGATGGTGCACGCGTTTGTATAGGACATGCGTTTGTTGGGAGTGTGTATGTGTATTAAGTGGGTAATTGTAAAGTGTACATGCGAGTTTTGATTATTTTGCTATTTGACCATATTTACACACATTTTTCAGATGTTTATACCCATCAAATATGCACACTTATTTCGTTTCCGTAATGCTAACAGACTCATAATAAACAATCTAATGTTTATTTTTACAAAATATTTCTTTTAATTTCCATCTCATATTCAAGATAGGAATTGATGATAAAAACATTAAGGATATCAATTCATAAAATAGATAATCGCTGTCCATTAGATCTAGACTTTATGACACAATTATTTTCACGAGATTATTTAGTTAGACCTTTCTTATTCACTCCCGTGACTGTTACCGTAAATGGCTCACCGCACAAGGAATTTTCTTTCATCATAATTCCATTCAGAATATCGGACAAAGTAGTATTAACAATTTCACGAATCGGATTGCATACATCATTTTTAAATAAGTGACTACTCACAATACACCCTAATGTATCTGGTTCGATTTCGTTTTTAGAACCTTCTTCTAAGGTTTTTTCTATACACTCATTGATAATTATTCTCATCGTTTCTTCATAGTTAGAAAGGTTATTAATTACATATTTAAATACGCCTTTAGTTATTTGAAAACGTTTTAAGGTTTTAAATTGTTCACCTAATAGTTTAATCTTTTGATCTTCGATAAGGCTAATTAAACTCATTTTGAATAAAGATAGAACTTGTATAATGAAGTGTTGTTGAATTATATTCAACACTTTCTTATGAGGAGTAAATAATCGTCATGGTTTAGGTAACATAACTTCCTAAGACATAATTTATTTGCCAATCATGTTCATTCTTATTTTCTCCGTCTATACCTCGTAAACTCATTTTGAATAAAGATAGAAAGGTTATTCTCTAAGTAATTATCTCTAAGTAATTATACATTGTTACTATGCGTATTACCTCTAAGTAATTATACATTTTGTTACTACAATTGTGTATTAAGGATGTTCCTCTACGTAATTACCCAGGCTGTTCCATGTTCTAATTGTTCTAATTGAACATAGATTATGAATTCCAAAGAATCTTTAGTAGATACAACAATTGAATTCAATAATATCACAGATCGAGTTTCTTCGAGCTAGTCTAAATTTTTAATTTTCATCAATGTTTTTGGACGTGCAAGGGATATGTGTGTGTGCATATGTTGAGACTATTTAGCAAGAAAATCGTCAGACAAATTTTAATAAATGTATGAGTAAAGTCTTAACCGTATAGTATGTCTGTATGTGTAATTTCTATAATTCGTAAGTTTTATACAATCCTTACAGACATATAAACAAAAATTAAAAGTGCTTTCATCATTTGGTGTCATAACTTCTCCGCCTGCTCCAGAGAACATAAATTCCAAGCAATCCGCACACCATTTTGATACACCAAAATAATTATCTAACATTCCAAAATGATTTTTACAAAGAGGTTTGACTCCAAAATTCCCCCACCCCTCAATGATATGCATTATTGCTTCATCCATCTCTGTGAAGAAATAGTTTGGGCAAAGAATTTACAAACTAAGAAAAATCCCAAAAAGATGGATGAAATTTAAGGAATTTAGAGGAATGCTCGGTAATTTTAATTAAAATTATAATAAGTACACAGACGGAACCTAAATAACAAAGTTTTTTAATTCTCTTATAAGGAGTAAGTAATCTATACTTTAGATAAGTTAAATTCCACAATGACAGATAGATCTAATTGTCAACATATTCTTACACTTAAGTTTGTTAGTCACAGCCTGATCCCTATGCTATAATTAGCTGCTTCAATAATTGATGAACCACTCTTCTCCTCTTACCATGATTAAAGGACTACCACCAGAGGCGCTACCACATAAGTAATAATTATATTAAAAAATTTTATTTATGAAAAAATGCGAAAAATGTTCAAACATTCTTAATCGTTTTGAACATTTTTCGCATTTTTTCATAAATAAAATTTTTTAATATAATTATTACTTATGTGGTAGCGCCTCTGGTGGTAGTCCTTTAATCATGGTAAGAGGAGAAGAGTGGTTCATCAATTATTGAAGCAGCTAATTATAGCATAGGGATCAGGCTGTGACTAACAAACTTAAGTGTAAGAATATGTTGACAATTAGATCTATCTGTCATTGTGGAATTTAACTTATCTAAAGTATAGATTACTTACTCCTTATAAGAGAATTAAAAAACTTTGTTATTTAGGTTCCGTCTGTGTACTTATTATAATTTTAATTAAAATTACCGAGCATTCCTCTAAATTCCTTAAATTTCATCCATCTTTTTGGGATTTTTCTTAGTTTGTAAATTCTTTGCCCAAACTATTTCTTCACAGAGATGGATGAAGCAATAATGCATATCATTGAGGGGTGGGGGAATTTTGGAGTCAAACCTCTTTGTAAAAATCATTTTGGAATGTTAGATAATTATTTTGGTGTATCAAAATGGTGTGCGGATTGCTTGGAATTTATGTTCTCTGGAGCAGGCGGAGAAGTTATGACACCAAATGATGAAAGCACTTTTAATTTTTGTTTATATGTCTGTAAGGATTGTATAAAACTTACGAATTATAGAAATTACACATACAGACATACTATACGGTTAAGACTTTACTCATACATTTATTAAAATTTGTCTGACGATTTTCTTGCTAAATAGTCTCAACATATGCACACACACATATCCCTTGCACGTCCAAAAACATTGATGAAAATTAAAAATTTAGACTAGCTCGAAGAAACTCGATCTGTGATATTATTGAATTCAATTGTTGTATCTACTAAAGATTCTTTGGAATTCATAATCTATGTTCAATTAGAACAATTAGAACATGGAACAGCCTGGGTAATTACGTAGAGGAACATCCTTAATACACAATTGTAGTAACAAAATGTATAATTACTTAGAGGTAATACGCATAGTAACAATGTATAATTACTTAGAGATAATTACTTAGAGAATAACCTTTCTATCTTTATTCAAAATGAGTTTACGAGGTATAGACGGAGAAAATAAGAATGAACATGATTGGCAAATAAATTATGTCTTAGGAAGTTATGTTACCTAAACCATGACGATTATTTACTCCTCATAAGAAAGTGTTGAATATAATTCAACAACACTTCATTATACAAGTTCTATCTTTATTCAAAATGAGTTTAATTAGCCTTATCGAAGATCAAAAGATTAAACTATTAGGTGAACAATTTAAAACCTTAAAACGTTTTCAAATAACTAAAGGCGTATTTAAATATGTAATTAATAACCTTTCTAACTATGAAGAAACGATGAGAATAATTATCAATGAGTGTATAGAAAAAACCTTAGAAGAAGGTTCTAAAAACGAAATCGAACCAGATACATTAGGGTGTATTGTGAGTAGTCACTTATTTAAAAATGATGTATGCAATCCGATTCGTGAAATTGTTAATACTACTTTGTCCGATATTCTGAATGGAATTATGATGAAAGAAAATTCCTTGTGCGGTGAGCCATTTACGGTAACAGTCACGGGAGTGAATAAGAAAGGTCTAACTAAATAATCTCGTGAAAATAATTGTGTCATAAAGTCTAGATCTAATGGACAGCGATTATCTATTTTATGAATTGATATCCTTAATGTTTTTATCATCAATTCCTATCTTGAATATGAGATGGAAATTAAAAGAAATATTTTGTAAAAATAAACATTAGATTGTTTATTATGAGTCTGTTAGCATTACGGAAACGAAATAAGTGTGCATATTTGATGGGTATAAACATCTGAAAAATGTGTGTAAATATGGTCAAATAGCAAAATAATCAAAACTCGCATGTACACTTTACAATTACCCACTTAATACACATACACACTCCCAACAAACGCATGTCCTATACAAACGCGTGCACCATCACATACGCTGTAAAATTGTTTAAATTAGCAAATTTCACCTTCATTTTCTTAAATATGTAATTTTACTCCTAAAATGAACAACTCCTTTCCCTAAATTCTGAAATTTAATCTTTATCTCAATAATTATGTAAATTTGCCACTAAAAACTACGTCTTCTTTTTATTAATTTTTTAATATTTTTAAAATTGTATCTTTGATTTACTAACTATGTAATTTTACCGCTAAAACTGGTGACTCCTATTGAATAATTTTTAAAAAATTGTATTTTAAAATTTTATCACGAATAAAATTGATACAATAAATTGTGTAAAAAACAAATTAAAATTTAGTTAGAAAAAATAGTGAAAAGAAAAATATTGTAATAGGAGTGTGGCTTCGCCACTTGACAGGCATGTCCAAGCTCAAACAGAGACTTGAGAATTATATAGTTAAGTCCACGACTACCGATTTTCAATTTGAGGATTACTTCACAACATATGAATGACACATGTTGATATTCATCGACTAATCCATGAGAGGTATGACGGCAACATTCGATAGTTGGTATAGTTTGGGTGCCGTACGCCTGACTACTATCCAACCCTATAATTACAACAAAATTCTAGGATGGCGATTATGAATATGACCAAAATTTAATACAATAAAATCGGAAGGGCGGACAATGCCCTTGCCGACATAAGGTTTATAAATTTTTGTAAGGTTTTGAGTAATAATAGAGCCATTTTTAATAGATGGTCTAAGAAAATTTGGATATTTAATTAAAATTGGTATATTATCAGATTTTGTTAAATCAAAAACTTGCTTCTTGAAGTTTTCATAACATAACCCTTGGTTGTTGATCACATCCCAGTTGAGTGTCATCCCACGAACCTTGAGAACGTAGTCAGGTTCATCGTTGGGTGAAGATTTCTTTTGAAGCTTTAGTCCATATTGTTTAGCTCCCCCAGAGCAATATTCCAAAATATTAAAGTCTGGGTACTCGTCTGTAAACTGACCTAGATGAGGACCAAGATCAAGTGGACAGTTGTTGACAGGGTGTGAAAAAATTAATGAGTCGGTGTCGGTGTAAAGGAGCTGACATCCAGGAGTCCTGACGACATGCTGCATTGCATGTAGAAGGTGGATCCTCGCTGCTGAGGTTGTCCAGAGTGAAATGATGACATTTGATGAGTCGTGTTCTTCCACCCAATCCTTCTTTTTGGTATAGTTGATAAGTAGTATCTCTTCGGTAAGCTCATCAACATGATTAATTGTAATAGAAGGATCATCGCTCATTTTAATAAATTCATTTGGATCGTCGGTAATTTTGCATTGTGACAGACCAAAGTTGCGTAGGGAAAATCTTCCCCATAAGTTGTTAAGACACAATTTTGCTTGTGTCCGTTTGCCCTTATTGACCACCATCTTCTCCCTCTCAATATTTATTTCAAACATTTCCTTACATTCCTTCATAAACTTATCTTCTTTCTCTTTGTCCCCCTTGATGGAGTTGTCGAAGCCAGACGAGTGAATTTTTTGGGCCATAAATTCATTGATGTAAGGGTTAAAGAGCTTGTCGTCGTAGTTTTTGAACTCCAGAACTCTGAAAAGTTTGGTCACAACATACCCCTCTTTGAGGGCTTCGTTCAGCTCGATAGATGTACATGTAGACACCCACCCTCTTTGTTGGTCTGTATGGGGACAGCAGTAGTTTTCATTGACATCCCCATGTGGATGCTCTCTTGCACACGTAGAACATAAAGGAAAAAGCAATCGTTCATCTTCGTCTTCCCCAATTTTCATTGGAAGGACAGGAATATCAATACTTCGTGGCGGAATAATAAACAGTTTTAGAAGGGAAAGATTATATGTGTTGTCTTCCGGTTTAGTCCAATTTACATCCTTGTTGATGACGTGCACTTGAGGATGGCCAATTGGATATCTAGTAGTAACATTGATAAAGGGGTAGAGAGAAGTCACGTCATAGTAAGAAATTTTCTGTCCTGCCTCTGCTTTGTGGTATAACTTCAAAGGTCCAGTTCTTCCACCATAGAATGCTGATCTTATGTTGATCGGGCCATCATCCAAATAATTTTTGAACATTTTGCGCATTTCGTAGTCATTTGATTTCATTTTCATAATTTCACACTCCCAGTAAACATCAACATTCACACCCAAATTCTTAATAAAATTTAAGCGTTGTTGATCCTTCTCCCTTTGCTTTCCAACTGTAAGACCTGTAGGGAGTTTTAAGTCGTCATTCGGATAACATTTGGCGCATCCATGCCAGCAGCACCCATTTACCTCAATAGCCAATTTCTTCTCCTTGACCCATCCATCTAACTTGTAATTACCAATTTTCTTCTCTCCATTTTTTGAGTGTGCTGTTCTTATGCTGACCATATTTTTTTCAGCATACCACTTGAGGAATCTAAGGGCTAGCAGACTTTGGTTGTCCACATTGTCGTATCCTTTTTCGGGTACAATTCCAACGTGTTGTGGTTTAAGATGATTCATGCGAAAGTGCTTCATACAAGCTGAAGCTATTGTCATAGACTCCCGTAAAACATCAAGACCATTGGAAACTTCCAAAAATTCTTTTCTGAAGGCCACGAGTGCTGCCATCAGAATTTCCACATCATTTGTACAGT